AGCATTAGAGTTAAGTATATTTCACCATTTTATCACTGCCTTACCTTCTCATTAAATTAAGTTTAGTCTTTAAAAATGAGAATTGAAAATAATTGGTTTTAAATTAATATTGTACTATTAAAACAATTTATTTATAACTTGCCAGTAACTGAATAAGCTTAAGTTTTAGCTAAAGTCACGTTACACTCACTAAACTAAACTGTAGGTTAAATAGTATTAAACTGTAGATAAATGTACTACCAAATCCTCTATCAACCAATACTGATATCAGTACCACAGCTATGATATACGACACTTGTCTAATTACACACATTAAATCCTGATTTAAACAATTTACTAATTTATTAAATTCTCAGCAGTTATTAAATAGTAATAGGAACATAAATTTAATATTTTAAGTTAAACACGTTCTCCTTTTTTTGCTTAGCTAATACATATAGTAGTAATAGTTACCTAAAGATGCCTAATCTAATATTAAGCCTAATGTCATAACTTAGGCTTAGCTGTAGTAATGAAACCTAAAAGTGTCCTCCTCCCCCCACTAAAATAACTGTAGACTAAAAATATTGAAATAATACTTATCTTCTCCAGAAGAATGCTATAATTTACAACTACAATTACCTCAAATTTTCCATCTGTTATTCTTTATTGGTACAAAATATATTGTTATACTGCATTGTTCAGAATCTGGAATAATGAATAGACAAATGCTAACCTTAATTACTTTTTTCTGAGGAAATATTTTTAACAAAGTTGAATGAAAGCCTATACTTTGATAAAAGCACACTTATATCAGTAATGTCCTATTTCAAATAATTGTTTGATGATAGAAATAAAAATGTTAGTGTTTATTAGAGATAGTGAAATGATTGGTTAGCAGTTAGTGATAAATCTGGAGATACATACTGCACTGTGTGATATATGTGTAAATATTTGTCAGAAAGTCAAGTAAACAATTGGAAAAATAATGTAAAATTATTATTTAGTATGAGTAGAAGGTGCTGAATTATATGTTGGTTATATGAACAATTCTCAGAAATATCAACTTTCTCTTTATTAGGGCAGAACTATTTAACTTGTATCCCAACAAGTTCTTGATGTTGGATGAATCTCGAGTATTTATCTTGAATACTTTGTTTAACTTGCCAGGTAAACAGTATAGAAAAATATATATCTTGTTATGACATTTTTTTAGTATAGATTATTCCACACTACTACTTGTTACTTGAACATTTCAAGGATGGTTATCATGTACATGATGTTTAACTTAACCAGTTTTAAAATAATGTGTTTTGTTCTTTGGTGTGTTAGTATATTGTATTATATTATTTAAGTGAAACAAAGTATTTTTGAAAGAAACAAATATCTTTTAATTAGGAAAAGAAATCACAAAGAGATGAATGTTCCACATTATTTGATAAAGAATTGATATAACTCATTCAAAGATTTATCTGGTTAATAAATTAAGTCAATATCAACTGAGAATTTGAATTTAAACTGAGAGTGAGGATATTGGTCAATGTTTGTTAAAAGTCAATAATTATAGGTCCACTGAAAACATGAATTAAAGCTTCTTGTGAAAATATTGGTCAATCTGTGATAAAAGTCAATAATTATAGGTCCACTAAAAAACATGAATTAAAGCTTCTTGTGAAAATATTGGTCAATGTGTGATAAAAGTCAATAATTATAGGTCCACTAAAAACATGAATTAATTAAAGCTTCTTGTGAAGATATTGGTCAATGTGTGATAAGAGTCAATAATTATACGTCCACTAAAAAACATGAATTAAAGCTTCTTGTGAAAATATTGGTCAATGTGTGATAAAAGTGAATGATCAGCTCTACAGCATTTGTCATGCAAGTTTCATTAAATGTCAGATGAATTGAAAGCCAAAAAGTGTGTTATTAATAGTGTTAAAAATAGCTTACTGCATGGGCTTAAGGATTTCTATAACTTTGTGTATGAAATTTATTATGGTTGTATTGTATCTTTACTTTTGGAATTATTGTTTGTTTGTTTTTTAGAAGCCTACTTGCTGGCGTGTGCTGTTGACTTCTTCAGTAATGCTTCAGGATACACTTCGTATGTAGTTAATTTGTTTTTTTATGATAGAAAGATTGTGACTACAGAAACTGTCTGAGTGAATGAAAATTAATTATCTTTGCTTTAAGATGATACATAGAATATTAAAGTTAGTTGAGCATGTCTACAACCAGTACAAGTTACAGCATGTCTACAACCAGTACAAGTTACAGCATGTCATTTATTAATGTTAACCTTGCTTTCCTATAAAATAAAGACTGCTTTTGTCAGCTGACGAATGTTTAAATAGTAATTATCATTATAAACACACTTGTTATTTGAACTCTTCCTATCTAGATAGTAATTATCATTATAATCACACTTGATATTTGAACTCTTCCTATCTAGATAGTAATTATCATTATAATCACACTTGATATTTGAACTCTTCCTATCTAGATAGTAATTATCATTATAATCACACTTAACGTGACTGCTTTGTACTTGTTCAAATTCTTTATAGATTTGATTCTACTAATTTTTAATATAGTGTGTATATTTTCACAAAATTTAGCAGTCTTTCAGTAAATATTATAAGTATTTCACATACAAAAAATAATATTTTTTAGTGAAGTATTTTAATAAACTAAAAAAAAAAAGATTTGTTCTTGAATATATGAAGTATTTGTTTTGAATAGTCTGTGTGCAAAGTTGTGACTGCCCTAAACTAATGAATCATTAACTGTATAAATTCGCCTTTATTTCTGTGCCAAATAAATTAGTGGGCCTTGGGGTGCAAAAGGCTGGGAAACCATTTTTAGTAGCTATGGGCAACTTCAGCTTGAATCTTAGTTAATTTTAAGTTTTGCTAATTACTAAATGTGTGAAGAGAATGTATTGCTAAGCTTATTGTTAGCTTCTTTTGTAAGGTTATGAAGTTAATTAGTTTTTTTCTGTAAGACTTAAAATTGTCAACTAGAAGTTACTACAAAAAAATATATAAATTCAGACTATACACAATATTTGGGTTTTAGATGTAAAAGTTATAATTATCTTTTCAAATCAAAATCTTTAATTCACTAAATTTTAGTTTTAAAGTCGTGATTTTTTTGTTTTCCAATATATGTTCTAAAAATGGTATGTTATGATTTATTCTCTGCAACACTGGTTAGACATACTTTGAATACCAGTACCCGAGTATGTTTAACATAAAAAAATTTCATACATGAGACGTTAAATACATTTCGAATGTAAAATACAAATGTATTTCTTTCACTTTATTTTTCTCAGGACCAAGGCTGGAGTTCGAAAAGGAAATTTGTACATGTCTTACAAGTCTATTTTTCAAGATGTTAGAAATGGATTTGACTGGCTTCATAGCATTGTGAGTGGTGAATATATTCTTGTTACTTAAGTAGAAATATGACAAATTAAAAGATTCTTGTTTTACAAAACCAACATCTATAACTGACTAGATATATTTTTTTTTAATAGGGAAATCTTAAAAACGAAACTGTTGCCAATCTAGAAAAGTACGTCAAAAAGGATGAAAATCTCCCGGTAATGTTTGATAGGTATGCTTTGTTAATTATTGTGTTGTAATTATGCTTTTAAGTGGTATATAATCATGCATATCCATCATCTGTTTTCTTGAGTGGTATATAATCATGCATAATCCATCATCTGTTTTCTTAAGTGGTATATAATCATGCATAATCGATCATCTGTTTTCTTATGTGGTATATAATCATGCATAATCCATCATCTG